CAAATATTTCAAAATTTGTTTTCCATTTCTTTTCATTTGTTATTTTTTCCTATATAATTCAATTATTATACCTAAGTTATAATTTACATATTTATAATCAAAATTAAAGAAATCATGAAATAACAACTAAAAATCAAAAACAAAAACTTGAAGTTCATAAAAAAAAAAGACTTCAATCACTGAAAATAATCAAATTGATGGTTAGTCCTTGGATTGCAGCAGCAGTTGGAACAGGTATTTATATTGTTTGTACACTTATTGCATGCTCATTAGTGTTTATATGTAGAATGAAAGATAAACCGTTTGTTTCTTTTATTTATTCATTAGATTAATAATTTGTATTCATTTAATATAGACTAGGAATTACTACATGTGTTGTTGCTGGTATTTGTACATGGCTTTTATGGTTCATGACATATATTAGTCAAATAAATCCATATGGACCACCTGAAGTAAAACCAATTGATTAATTAATAAAACAATTTTACTAATGGAAATTTTTGTTATTAGTATGCCATTGTAATACTCGTAAGATAATTTTAGAAATAAATAAGGTAAGGTATTAAAAAGAAACTAAAACTAAGAGAGGATTCTATCTATTCTATAATGAAATTATTTTTGCAAAAGATTTAGTTCTTATTTTCTTTACAATAATTAGTTTGTTTGAAAACAAAAAATTGATAAAAATTCAAATATATGAATCTTGGAAATTAATACATAATGTTTTCTATATGTAACAACACTCACAGGAAGAACTATGGTAGAAATAAAAGCATAACAAATAATAGATCACCTGTTACTCTTAAATCAAAAAGTGAATTAACTAAACCAATTAAAGAAGAAAAATCACCAAATGAAAAGAAAAAACTTTCATTACTTGATTTTGATATTGGAAAACCTCTTGGCCATGGTACATTTGGTAACGTTTATCTTGCAAAACTTAAAAGAGAGTTTGGTGTTATTTATTTTTAAAATATTATTATTCACAACACAGAGAATATGTGTGTGCTTTAAAAGTATTAGCCAAATTACAGATTTATAAATATAACATGCAGGAACAGTTAAAAAGAGAGATAGACATTCAACACCACCTTAATCATCCCAATATTCTTAAACTGTACACTTTCTTTGAAGATAAAAATAGGTGGTTTCTTGTTCTTGAGTATTGTAAGAAAGGTGAGTTGTCTGGGCTATTAAAACAAGTTGGTCGTTTTGATGAAAGAAGGGCTGCTGGGTATGTAAAATCAATTGCAGAAGCTATTGCCTACTGTCATTCAATAAATTGTATTCATCGTGATTTAAAACCGGAAAATATTATGATAGATCATCACGATCAGGTTAAATTAGCTGACTTTGGATTGTCTATTCAAACAAATACTAAAAAGAATACACGTTGTGGTACATTAGATTATTTATCTCCTGAAATTATTGAAGGGAAAGATTATGAACAGTCTGTTGATGATTGGGCTATTGGTGTTTTAACTTTTGAACTATGCACTGGAAAAGTTCCTTTCTTTTCGTCTAACGAGGAATGTACTAGTAAAAAAATATGCAATTTAGATTATACTCTTCCCAATTACTTGTCAGAAGATTGTAAAGATTTTATTCGCAGTTTTCTTGTTATTGACCCTAACAAACGACTAAAAGCTGTAGATTGCTTGAACCATCCATGGATAACCAAAAACACAACAAATTGATTTTTATTTTCTTGTTATTATATTTTTAGTGGGTTTAAACTTAAAAACAATAATTAATGGAAAAACAATGGGAAAAGTATCAAATTTTACATTCTAAAGATGTAGTACTTGAAGACTCACATGAATGAACTTTAGACACACTAAGACGTGTTGGGGGTTTGTTTATTTTTTGTTTATGACTAGATGGTTATTAGTTGGTATGATAGAATTATTAATGATTAGGGATTAGATATATCTTTTTCAACAAATCACCTAGACTTTGCAATTGGTTGTTTAGTTATTTGTGAATATCCTTCTGGAAAAGAGTTATTAACACTGACATGTCGTAAAATAATTACGATTCCTTATATTTCAGGATTTCTTGGTTTAGAGAAGTAGAAGTTTATCATGAACTACTAAACAATTGTAAAGAAAAGTATCCTGAGTTATATCCAGAAGTTGTTCTTGTTGATGGGAATGGATATTATCATCTCGAAGATTTGGTTCTGCAACTCATGTTGGAATTTGTTGTGATATACCATCAATTGGTGTTGCAAAGGTTTGTAATTTTTGAGTTTTATTCACCAAATAACTCTAACAATGTAGACTGTATTATGTGTTGATGGGATAGGAAAGAAGGAGATTAACATAGTTACTTCACAAATCAAAGCAGGTGAATCAACGATAATTAGTACTTCAAGTGGAGAAGTGTTGTGTGGGGTTATAAGAAGTAGAGGTGGTAGTATAAATCCAATTGTTGTTAGTTGTGGGCATAAAGTTTCACTTTCAACAGCAGTAATTATATGTAAAGAATGTTGTTTTACATAAAATCCCAGAGCCTATTCGTCTAGCTGATTTAATTTCAAGAAATTTGTTAAGGAATGAAGGACTTCTCCCACACATGAATTCTAAATAAACAAAAAAATATAAAAAGAAGATTAGTGTTAAACAGAAATGAAAAGCCAAAAATCTAATTCTTTTCAAAAAGGTGTTAACAAATTAATCTTAAATCAATCATTTATTATGATTAAAAAAAGATACAAGTTGAAGAGATTTATCTCTCAAATATTGTATTATATTTTAGTAGGATAAGAATAGCTGAATTGTTTACATTAATAAATAAAAGGTGTAAAGATTCATTTCAATTATTACATATCAATCCATCATATTCAGTTGAGAAAGCTAATGAATATTTTCATATTAAAGAATGTAATTTTCAACTCCAAAAATCATTTGTAAAAGAAATGAAATTATTTCCTCATCTAGAAACAATCTAGTTTACAGAACAAACAATTCAATTTCTTCCTTTAATTCAATCACAAATTAAATTAATTCGACTTCCTGTTATTAGTCCAGAATCTACAATATTAAAAAAGAATTATTTGAAAGAAAGAATTGCTTCATTGTCATTAAAAAATCCTAAATTCTCTTTTGATCTTTCAGAATTTATATCTTTAACAAGTCTATCACTTATTATTAAAAATCACTTAAGTGTTAATGATTTTATTAGAAATAGATATCATCGTTTTGAAAAAGGTTATGTTTTAATGGAAGGATTTGTTGATACAAATTTTATTAATCACATTGATCGATTTAATATTAAGAAAGTAGTTATTGAGTTTGATAAACAAGAAATATTAGAATCAGTCATCAAAAATAAAGAACTTCTCAAAAGAATTACATTTTGTTACAAAGAATGTTATAATAATATTTCTAATAGTGTTATTATTCATAATAAAAGATTAATTAATGAGTTTAAAATAACAGAAAAAGGATTTGATAATGAAACATTAATTCGATATTATCCTGAGCATATTAAAATAAATGGATTTAGTAAAAAGAAGATTAAAATGGATTTTAGTTCATATACATTCATAAAATCAATCAAATCAACAAATTCTTCAATTTATTTTAATCCACTAATAAGTCTAACACATCTAGAATCAAAATATTTCTATAAAATATCTTCTCTTAATGAATTATATCTTCAAGGAAAAAATATTCAAGATGTATCTTTTCCTAATAATTTAACAGCATAACAATCACTGATTTTATTCAAATTTCTAATTATTCTCAATTAGTTCGACTTTCTTTATGTTCAAATAAACTATTTCAAATTTCATTATGTCCAATGTTAACATATTTGTCTTTGTCATGTAACACATGTAATAGTCTTTGTTCATTAACAAATTTAAAAGTATTGTAGATAAACAAAACTCTTAAAAATGTTAGTATTGAATCATTTTATCCTAATTCATTAAAATTTTTACAATATTATTCTAATTCTCTTCCAAAGAAATTACCAATTACACAATTAGTATTAAATGTTTCTTTAAAAGAACATAATACATATCATTATTCATGTCTTTGTAGTTTAAAAATATTAGGATTATTTCATATCTAATATTACTTCCTACTTCTTTGACTTCATTAACTGTATCATGTTTTGGTTTATCACAAAATCATATATCATTTAAGGATTTAAATTATATTAATGTTAAGGAATTTCACATTGAAAATTGTATTACTCAGAATGTAGAATTACCGTCTTGTCTTGACTCACTTTATCTTCATTACTCAGTATTTGAAATAATTAATCCAATTATAGTTTATACTCTGGTGCTTAATGAAAGTAAAATTAATAGTGAAATGATTCAAAAAGATTTTATAAAGAAATTCTATTCCAGAAGATCAAAAGAAAGTGAATTTATTAACACTGAATGGTATTATCACTTCCTCAATTAAAATCTTGTTATTATCAGAAATAAATAATTTGTTATTTTTAATTTAGTTTTAAATCTAATAAAAACAATTTTATTAATGAATGAACTTTCAATATTCTTTTATGGAGATTCAAATCTTTATGGGATTGAAGCTGTGACTTATAAACGTTATTCTTCCAAAGACAGATTTTCTAATATTGTAATTGAACAATTAAAAAAAGAATTTACAAAAGTCAATTGTATTGTTGATGGAAAACCTGCTCGTTCATTAAAATATGAAAACATACCATTTGGTATTACTAATGGGTTAAAAGAATATGATCAATTCTTATTAAAGATTACCTCCAATCCATTTTCAACAAACAAAGTATTAATTATTTCATTATGTATTAATGATATTCTTTCAAAAGCAACTTCACAACAAGTTATTGATGCGTTACAACAATATATCGAAAAAGTTCAAAAACAAACAAAAATAATTGTTTTAATTCCACCACCACTTCAATATTGTACATTTGAAAGTTGGAAATCTACAGTAAATCCAGTGATTGAAGAATCATTGAAATTTGTTCATCAATTAAAAATTGTTGTTGAATTATGGAAAAAGCAAGGAATAATAGATGGGTTTGTTGATTTAGATGGGATGAGTGTTGGAGAAGATGGTGTTCATTTCACATCAGAAGCACATCACCAAATTGCAGAAAAGTTACTTTCAGTTCTTCATGAAGTTTTAAATTGAATTATTTTCGCAGATTATTAAGTTAAAAAGTAATAAAGATAAAGTATAAAAGAACTTGGATGATTAAAGAGAATTAACATTTCTTATGACAATAAAATCTATAGTTATTTATGCTGATGAAGGAACTATTAATGTTTGTGTTCATTATTCAATGAAAATGCTTCATTCTCAATACCAAGAAGCTAGAATAAGAAAAATATATGCTAATGAATTAATTGAAGGTAAATGGATTTCTGAAACTGATTTATTTGTTATGCCAGGTGGTGCTGATCGTCCATTTCACAAAAAACTTAATGGAATAGGAGTCAAAATATTGAAAGAATTTATTAATAATGGTGGAAAGTATCTTGGAATTTGTGCAGGGGCATATTTTGCATCATCATTTATTGAATTTAATAAAGATATTCCAAATGAATTAAGTCTATGTGAAGAAAGAACATTAAAACTTTTCAATGGTATTGCACATGGACCAATATACCAAGGATTTGAAGAATACTCTGAACGAGGAGCTGTCATAATTCCTATTTATTATCAAAATAATCAAAAAGTAGAACTTTATTATAATGGAGGATGTTCATTTGTTGACAATTTAAATCAATACAAAGAGAATCATTTTCTTGCAAAATATCAAAATGGAATGAATGATTTATTCTTTGACACTATTGGTAAAGGAAAAGTTATTCTTTCTGGTCCTCATTTTGAGTTGGACATAGAATGGTGTGGTAAAATGCTTAAAGAACATCAGAAAAGTGAATTTGAAATGAGAAGAAAAGTCTTTTTGAAACATATTTTTTCATATTTTTAATCACATTGTTATTAATAATCTTTATTTTTATTTATTTCATTTTGATGATTAACACTATCAGAGTGTATAATGACATTGGAACATCCGTTCTTTGTGTTCATAACACAATTCAATTGTTTCATCATTTTTTCCCTTGTGCTAATGTTTTTAAAATTTCTTCTTCAGAAATTAAGACGAACAAATGGATTGAAAGTACTGATTTGTTAGTCATACCAGGAGGTGAGGATTTACCTTATCTTGATAAACTTCAGATTGATGGAATTGAACTGATTAAGTCGTTTGTTTTCAATGGGGGAAAGTTCTTAGGGATATGTGCTGGAGCATACTTTTCATCATCATACATTAAGTTCTTTTTAACTTCTCAATTAGTTATTGAAGGAGAACGT